TCAGCTCCGTGAAGACACAGCAAATCAGATTCAAAGTGTACTACGTAATGCAAGAAAGAATTGAGTGGTGCTCAAGGTGTGAGTCAGACGGCGGATCGTGCGATAAAGTCCGATAAAACGTCTTAGCGGAGATCCCCTCCGCAGCGAGTGTCCTCGTCCGAAAGCATAAAGTCCGAGTCCCAATCAGATAGAGCAAGGTAACTGACGTCAACAAATTTGGCCTGAGGAGACCTTCTTGTTTGGGCCTGGTCCCACTGAGTCCCAAACGGTCCCAGTGGAGTCAGAACCGGGTCCCAACCAACAAGAGTTCCACAAAGACCTACTCTGTCCCTACCAAATTGAAAAACGAAATTTTGCCCCAAAAAGAACCTACAGACTACAACCGTTTAGAATGAAATAGATAAAGCACTGTAGAAAGATATAGCATGGCACACAAGATACTCCATCCATTCACTCATCACGTGAGTAAGCAGTTCACGCACTTCACGCAAGATCAAGACTATGGAGGATGGAAGAAGAACCCATAATACCCCAACATGCAGTCAATTCCATGCACACACACATGGGCACCCTGACGGCACGGCACTTACCTGAGTGACCAGGCTCTTGAGATGAAAGAACTCACCCCGCTCTCACATAGTCCTCCTGACCCAATTAGCATCCTCTACACTAGTGTCCTATCATCTAGGAGGGTCAACATCTACCCCACAGTACAAAGTCGGATCCCCCGTCGATGTTGAAGATCAAAGCAGCAACTTGCAGTCCGTAGGCGCAGATATGGCTGCCACCCTCAAGCTCGCCTAACTTGAGGGGAGCCCTAAAGTCACTCCTCGTCTTCCTTGAAGTCCAGATTCAAGTTGTAGGTGCCCTTCACTGTCGCCTCTCTCAAGTTGCATCACGAAGTCCCACCTTGTGTCTCGCCACCACAAACATGCACTCAAGCAACCTGGCCGGGTCTAGTGTCGACCCTACACGGCCCTGCCAAGTGGGGGCAGCTTCCCTTTACCACGCTGCCCCACTTAACCCTAACCTCCGCCCTAACCCTAAGTGGTTAGCCCTTACCACTAGGGTATGGGTTATGGCAGCAAAGTCAACTCTCACCAGCAAGTAGAATCCGCTCTGATACCAATGTTACGATCCTGGCCAATTTCGAAGTATACAAACATCAGAAAGCACAATGCCGTCCAATTGCAAAAAGAAATGAATAAACTTGAGAGGAGAGAGAGGGAAAGAAGAAGAAGAAGAAGTAAGAAAGAAGAAGAAGATGATGTACTCCAGCATAGACCAATGACAAGGCTCTTCTTCCTTGCGAACCAATCTCCTCCTCCTTATCTCCTCCCCTCTTATTCAAACAAGAAATAACAATAATAATGTTGAATAGCTGAACCAGAGTCAATGCCCGAATCCCACTTCCACTGCAGGCACAACATGAGGTCCACCATAGCCATGGCCACCCTTCCTCTTCCTCTACATACAGGCCAAGGCTATGGCGGAGTACTGAGGGCTCTCCCTCCTGTCCAAAGGACAACCCAAAGCAGCTATGTCACTGCCCCACTTCAAACAGCTATGCCGCTGCTCACTGAACCGCCATGCCTGACTCTACCCCGAGCTTCCTTGGTGCGGCACTACCCCAACGGGGATCTTCCAGATGCAGCGCCTCACAAGGTGATGAAGATGGTGTTCACCATAGCCAAGTAGGTACCTCGCCACTCTCCCCCTTGGTCCCCTTCTTCCTCCTCCTCCTACCAGTAGAGCTCCACCATAGCCACGGTAGAAGCTCCCGGCTTCTTCCTCCCAGCAGCGCTGTAGCAGCCAGCGCTCTTCCAACCAGCGCTCCAACAGCGTGATGCCCAACTCGCACACTGAAGAATGAGGCCGAGCTCTTGCCTCGGCCTCTTGATATAGCGGCCTGCTTGCCTCTTGGGCGGTGACTTCCAGGCCGCTCGGCCTCCCAAGCAACCGGTACCTCCTCCCTTTCGGAGGGAAACATCATTGCAGACTCTGATATTGCCCGTACAGGCTCTAGACTCAGACTGTATGGACTGGTACCGGCCTAGACCTAACCTACCGCTACTGGGCCTCTAAAAATGCCAACTTTGTCTTCTTCTGCTCGGCCTCGAGTACCCGGCACATCTACTGCTACTGGTGCGGTACCGGCCTACCTGCTACTTGAGTGTTTTTCCGCTGCTCCAGGTGCCGCGAGCCCCTGCCTCCGCTACTTGAGTGTTTTCCCCTGCTGCAACCCTCCATGCCACGGCCACAGGTAAGTACCGGCCCTACGGGCCTGCCAAACAAGCAAGTACCCTTGCGGGTCACACACACACTCATGCCGACAAGCACTCAGACAGGCACGCAAGTCAACAGGCACTCACACATACAGACTTAGAAAACACAGCAGAATGAGGGAATCTCAGCAAGGCATCCATTCCATAGGCAGAACTTCAGAAATCAGCAGTGTTCTTAGTCTGTGTTATGGCGGGTCATTACAATTCCCCCGAAGGGGAAGGGCCGAGCCGCGCTTTGCTGCAGTGCAATACGAAGGCAATGCTGGAGCGATCGAGTAGGCAAGCCTACCCCTGTGACCACTCCGTAGCCCTGAAAAATTAACTTAATATCATGTGGCCCGATGGACCACGGATCAGAACAGATACTACACCGGATCTATTTTTGAGCCAAAAGGCCGAGAAAGGTATTCAACTGTGAATAGTTCTATACGGACAGGGATAGAACAGAAATTTGACAGCAGTGGGACTTGTGGGCAAAATGGGACAGATGTGTGGACCTGGTGGTTAGGATTTTGGAGAGGCCCGTGATCCGGTAGGATTAGCGGCAGCAGGTACAATGATGTTCCCGATTGAATCTAGGCTAGGCCTGGATCTACGTACGTACATAGGGTCTGAGGGACAGACAGGGACAGGTAGGTAAACCTGTAGGGACCTGGTTAGGATTTTGGAGGGGCGCATTATCTAGTAGGATTAGAGGCGGCAGGTATAATGATGTTACTGGACTGAACTTAGGCTAGTCCTGGGTCTACGCACGTGGGGGCTGAGGATGCTTACAATCTGCGATAATGCTCCCCTCTACAGGAAGGTCCAGTAGCACCCCCCAGGCTGTACGGACCGAGACCTAGGCCTAGCCTAGATTCCGTCCCATACCATCATTATACCTGGGTTAGCATCCCGGTCCGTACCAGGAGCGACCGGGGTAGGAGGAGCTAGACCGCCTTTCCCCGAACACAAGGCACCCTGATCATGGATGTATACAAACAATGTTTCCAGCCAGATGCAGTTGTGATGAGGTTGCGTTATGTTCAGAGGAAGACAGTAGTAGGCTGTGGGCCCAGGACAGTATATCACTGGGCAAGCAGTCCACTGGCTCACTTTTCGTCACTGGAATGATGTCCCGCTGTGAGAGAGAGTGAGTGACCAAACGAGATTGGAGACAAGGAGGTGGCGTAGACAGAGCCGGGAGTCGAGGAGAAAGCAAATAGACTATATAATATAATATGTACCAGGAAAATAAGCAACAGCGAGATGACAAATTCCAGATTACACCATCACATTGAAAGCCAGATAGTCACACTGTGTCCAGAGAGCAGCATTGCACCAATAAAACACCAATGGAGGTTCGTAGTACTGAAAACCAATGTCAAGGAGAGCTTTCTCTCTCCGCCACAACACAAGAGTCCAGTCCCTTCACACTCCTACTTGGCGCTCAGAGCCCAGCCTACTCCTACACAGCTACGATCAGCCTACTAATAGACAATGCAACTAATGACATCAGCGGCAACCCGAAGTACTTGAAGATGTCGCCCAAATGCAGACCATCGCCAATACAAGGTATGTGCCCTCACATCATCATCATCATCATCCTTCGCYCTTCCCTGACTKTACACCCACGTCTTCCTCCCTTACACCCGAAGACCACTCATGCGCCTCACTGCAGTCCAAGCCCACCAGCTATGGTGGCTGGGCTATGGCGCTGCCCTCAGCAGCGCCCTGCTTCCCTGCACGACCGCACGTGCTGCACCTCGCCTCTGCCTACTCCTACACAGCTACGATCAGCCTACTAATAGACAATGCAACTAATGACATCAGCGGCAACCCGAAGTACTTGAAGATGTCGCCCAAATGCAGACCATCGCCAATACAAGGTATGTGCCCTCACATCATCATCATCATCATCCTTCGCYCTTCCCTGACTKTACACCCACGTCTTCCTCCCTTACACCCGAAGACCACTCATGCGCCTCACTGCAGTCCAAGCCCACCAGCTATGGTGGCTGGGCTATGGCGCTGCCCTCAGCAGCGCCCTGCTTCCCTGCACGACCGCACGTGCTGCACCTCGCCTCTCAGCGCCAGCAGCAGCCCACGAGCATTTGCTCCAGCAGCGCTGCCGCTAGCATGCGAGTGCCTGAATGAGGCTGCCTGGGGAGAGCTCTTTCCATAAAGGAAAGAGCTGGCCTGCTCGTGCAGCCTGGCTGTACTGGCCTGGGCCCAGAAGCTTCCGGAAGGCCCCAGGATGCTGCCTTTGCACTGCAGCTACTGGGCCTCGTTCGGTTGGGCCTCCCAACTGTCAGTGTATGAGGCTGCGATTCACGCCCAGGGCCTGCTTTCTTTGGAAAGGCCCGGTAGGCTGTGGAAATGTCTTGGTTGCTCGGCCTGTGTTTCTCTCAACCAACTGGCGCGTCGCAACCGCCTGTACCCCGAAAATGAAATTGACAGTCAAAGGCCTCTTGTAATATGTTAGGCCCGCCTTCACTTAGGGCGGGCACCACTGCAACCGGGGCCCCTTAGGCCTGCCGAGGACCCAGATCATCGCATATGTAACAGATATCCAATAAATTATATTATATAAGATTATAGTGTATATTACATAAAAATTGATAAAATATTATTATAGACAAAGACAGAGAGAAGTATAAATAGGAGTCTCATATAGATACGATACCTCGATTTTCGCAGTCTTCTCAACAAAAAAAAAAAAAAAAAAAACTATACCTGGAAACAGCCGAAAGCTCCGTTTCGCTGACATAGCACCTGGGTGGTGGTCCCTTCCTCCCTTTTGCCTGCGAGCCAAAAGTGGACAAAGCGAAGTATAAATGACATTAAAGTTGCATCGAAATTATAGAATGACATTAAAGCCATCAAAAAGTAGCTTGTTGTAAGGGGAAGCGGGGGGAAAAAAAAAAAGAGAACAACAAAATAACCCCCCCCTCTGGAGAGTCCATGGTGACGGGTGAAACATGCCGGGTTCGCATTCTGTCTCAAAGGTCAATGGCTGTGTGAACTTGCCCATTTTTTTTTTTTTTTTAATTCGACTCTACGAGATTCTCTACTCGATTTGACACCAGCGTTGATTTGGTGATACTCAAGAGAGGACTGTTGATGTGTTAATGCTCAATCTGCTGAATGGCAGTTGCGCTCTCTCTTGTGTGCAATTAGTGTGTGCTGCGAGAGGGGCTAGGTTCATTGCACCATTCTCATTGTCCGTGAGAGGAGTATACCTTTGGTTTCGAAGCTTGCTGCTGAGCATTCTCGGTGCCATCGCCCTCCAGCGCTCTGAGACACGCCAGCAACACATCAGCAACACGTCAGCAACACGTCAGCAACACGTCAGCAAACCCCACGGCAAGTCAATAACTGCAATTTGGGAAAAGGTCGTCGTTAAACCACTACCGTCTGCACCTGAATAGAACGCCCGGTCATTATAGCAGTATTTGGCACAACTTTTGGTCCAGATGCAGCGATAATTACCGGGCGTTCTATTCGGGTGAAGACGGTAGTACCTTTGTCGGTTGGGAAAATAGTGAGAGGGCCTCCGACCTTTCAGGAGGAGGTGGAAACGAAACGACGGCCGCCGATCAGACTCATATCAATGGCAGCCGTTGTCGGGCCCAGCCTCCTAAAAGTTCGGGACTAGGCTAAAACTTGCCGAAACTGGACGGCAAAGGTACTAGTGGTTTAACCCCCCCCCCCCCCCAAAAAAAAAAARAACTACTCCCAATTTGCATCCTCTTTAGAACCTTTTCCGGATTAGTTTTCCAGGGGGGAAAAAAAAACAAAAACAAACACAAGCCTTCAAAAACTCCCATAAGCGGAGGAAGAAATGTCCAGCAAGATAGAGCAAAGCATGAGAACGGAGGTGAAGGAAGATACACCCATGAAACCAGCTCCGTTACGCACACCAAAGATTCGATAAAGGATCGAAAACAGCTTATAGAAGATCCAAACCATGAACAACACCCACGCGGCCAAACCCCTCGACGCGTTTCATATGCCCCGCACGCAGAAAGCTGTCATCCCTCGCACCACTACAGCACACCTGGGGCCATTCCTCACGCCTTGCCCCATATTTATACTCATCCTACACCTACCGCATGCACCCACATCCACACTGGTGCCAACGAGAGCATCGCGAACAGAAACCGCAGCAACGCCGTTATGAAATCTGACGACTCAGTACACAAAGGCGACATGAGGGCAACCGAGATCAACGGTCAAAAGAAGAGATTGGCAGACACGAGTTGCAGCAATCAACGACACCTTGTGTAGATCTCACCTGCAAAAGCACAATCAAACACACACAAAAGATGCAAAGAACCACATCACAAACAACCACAGTGTTCCGCTGGAATCGCAGAGGAGGCACACCGGCGTTCTTGGAGCCAGGATCCAACCGCCAGAGCACTCAGCTGCTCGCCCAAGGTGATACAGAGCCAGGGCGTCGTTACGGCAATACGATCAGAAGCCGCTCAGCCACTGCACGAAGAGCGGAACGCACGTTCACCTGCTATACAGAAATGAGAGGAAAGGCCGATGGGAGAGCAACTGATATACTCCCAGGCTCAAAGATCCAGAGTGCACAGCGAAGCGGGATCCGTAGAAGTTCTGCCAACCGCCTGGAGACAACAATCCCGAACCCAACCCGAGGGAGTGTCAAGATACATCCGAGATTGTACCAATGTCAGACTCAGGATGCCGAAGCGGAGTCGCCCCGCATTAGACTGTAAGGACGGAAAAAAAACATGCATCAAAAAAGAAAACGAGAGAACGGTCACATCTCGAAAAGCCTGCGAAATTGAAGCCTCGAGACGGCGAAGTCCCCCAAAACGGTGCAGCGAACTGCCGAGCCAAAGCCTAAAGCACTACCGGCCAGGTGCGCAAAATGGCCAAGACAAGGGCTAGCCTCGCAAAAAATGTCATCGTAGTACGAGGCCCGAAACGGGCCTGCAGAAACTCCCATGATTGTGGATCGAAAATGGTTTCCGAAAATGACAAGTGCAAGGAATATGAGTGCGAACAATATACAGAAAACCAAGTTGTGAAATCACACAGATGTCCACGTAGGCATGTACAAGCAGAGAGCACAATTGCACCGAGAATCCAACCAAATAGAGCAATACAATGAAGTAATGAGCCAATGTTCAAGCCCTCAGGCCACACCAACACAGTATCCAAAGTCGCTCTCTCTGTCTGGCGCCCAGCGCCCAGCCTACTCTACCCGACTATCCTACCTACAGCTGTGTTCACGCAACAGGCTCACTCCGACTCTTCAAAGACCAATGTACATGATGTCAACACCATAGCCGACCTCTCTTCATGCACCAGGTACTATCTCGTCACCATCATCAGACCTTGATAACCCATACACTCGCCTCCTTCCCTGAAGACCACCAGATCGCCCCCTCTTACCCACTAGCGCCCAGCAGCCCGGCGAGGGCTGCCAGCGCACCGCTGCCCTGCAGCGCCCCACTTCACCTCAACGCGCCCCGCAAGCGCACTGGCCGCAGCGCAGCAGCGTGACCACATTGCCTGCCTGGGCCAGAATGCTGGTCTGGGCTGCCTCTCTTCCTATATGGAAGTGGCAGCCTCCTGGATGCTGCGTGTGGCCTGGCCGGAAGCTTCCAGTAGCTTCCTGTTCGGCCCCAGTACTTGTGCCCAGGCCCGAGACTACAGTTGAGGGCCTGTGCCCTTTACAGTTCGGCACGGCCTCAGTCTCCAGACTCGGGCCGTTTGCTGCATTTGCACAGGTCCCCGGGGTAGGTGCGTCGTCAGTACCGCTTTTGCATAGGCCTGTGGCCACTTCAAGATGTATCGGCCCTGCTTTGTGTGTATGTGCCCAGGCGCAACTGCCAGGGCCTGGGCCAACAGTACGACGCCGCCCAGTGAGGCTCACGAGTCCACTCAACCAACTGGCGGGCTGCAACAGCCTGAATACCCATATACGAAAATGTCGAGTTTCGGCCTCTGATGAACATTCAGGTCCGCCTTCACTTAGGGCGGGCACTTGGCTTGCTGGGGGCCTCTGCCAGAACATGTGTTTGCCCGACAAGGGCCCTTGTGAGGGCTCGTTCCTCGCACAAGTACAATTCCCATCTCAAGTGCTAGAGCTTAGCGACGGCAGTCACAAACCTCAGCTGCATAACGATGGGAAAGGGAACAGAGGAAGTAGGATGGCAACTTTACAACTCATAACGACGATATGTTCTAGCACGCCTAGCCCGCATATCATCATCATCTCGTTTAACCTTCTTAGCAATAGCATACCTCAGCGTGCCAAAAGAAACTTCAGCAAAAATACGAAATACACGCGGCCAATGAATGATGAAATTGAGCGCCCAAAACAAAGAATTGCAGCCATTCCAGTCCATGACTAGAAAATCGAGGGACTCCGTTAAACCACTGCAGTACTTCCCAAAGTCGTGCTCCCACGATTTTAGGAAACGTACCTACGGGCCAGTACAGGAGCGGCCAAATTCATCCGAGTAGAAACATTTCTACTCTATTTTTTTTTCCGCGGCCGATAGCTGGGCCAAGTACTGGTGGTTTGAAAAAAAATTGGAACGACACAGAGAAGATAGATTAGCATGGCCCCTGCAAGGATGACACACATAAATGGACAAATGGCCTAGGCTGTGCATCCAGCTTGTGCCCGGATACACCCCGGGGTGCCGGGCCGAGCATCAGCCCCGGGCAGGGTCTCGGGCAGCCCTGGTGCAAAAAAAGAAAAACTAAAAATTCCAGAAAAAGAAAATGTTGAGTAGAATTGCAATACAAACGACTATGGCCTGAGGCGCGCATCAGAATTCCTCACGGAATCAAAAATAAAAACGACCAAGACACCCCCCTTTAGACCCTTTTAGCCCCTTTGAAGCCAATTTATGCCCCCGTGTGCAGAAAAACCCAACCGCCAAAATAAAACATAAAAAATAAAAAAACATTACCCCACCTATTCGCATGCCCGGGTACCCAGGGCGTCAGACCCCCCCCGGCGACTTGCCCGGATGCCCAGTCCAGCCTGCACAGCTGGGCAGCCCCAAGTAGCCTACAGCCAACAGCCTTCCGTTGTTATGACACGTGTCAATGGACTGTTAAAAAGTCATCACACTATGCGTTTATTTTATTTGCAGCCCCATCTGTGCATAGTTAAGGAAGGAAGGAAGGCCGGAAGGAAGGAAGGAAGGAAGGAAGGAAGGAGGGAAGGAAGGAAGGAATCAACTGAAGGAATCAAAGGAAGGAATCAAATGAAGGAATCAAAGGAAGGAATCAAAGGAAGGAATCAAAGGAAGGAATCAAAGGAAGGAATCAAAGGAAGGAATCAAAGGAATCCTGAATTAATCAAAGGAATCAAAGGGATCAAAGGAATCAAAATTATCAAATGAATGAATCAAAGGAATCAAAGGAATGAATCAAACTTCATTATCAAAAGGAATCAAATGAATGAATCAAACTTCATTATCAAAAGGAATCAAATGAATGAATGAATGCATCAAATGAATAAATCAATCAACCAATCAAATGAATGAATGAATAAAATGAATCAACGAAATCAAAGAATGAATCGATGAATGAATCAATGAATTAATGAATGAATCAATCAATGAAAAATAGATCAATGAATCAAATGAAATAAATAAATAAATAAATGAATCAATCAATCAATGAATAAATGAATGAATAAATCAATGAATGAATAAATCAATGAATGAATCAAATAATGGATCAATCAATGAATAAATAAATGAATCAATCAATCAATGAATAAATCAATGTCAGATGAAAAGCTCATCAATGTCAGAACACAGAATGTTGTAGCGCAGTTTCAATGTCTCTGAAATCGTACATGCAATCAAGTAGCCCAATATCTTGTGACCAAAAGAAGAGGCAGATGGGAGGGGGAAACAACTTAAGAGGGTGGAAGAGAAAGTACCCATCATCTCAGCAGATAGATCTCCCTCACTAACCCACTCCTCCTTTGGGCATCCCCTGCTCGCCACATCAGCAGACAGTCTCCTCTGACACCCTCTGACAATGAACAGATCTCAGCATGGCGCACATGGCGCAGAATCCTCTGAAGATGAACAGCAATGCGCGATGTCGACACAACAGCAGACAGGTAAGTTTTCCTTACGATCAACCAATCTCACAGCCTTGATCCTCCTCCTCCTCGCCAGCATCCCATCAATGTCGTAGACAGTGTGGCGAGAGCCACGTCAGCACAATCAAATGTCCAGCTGGCGCCGTAGACAGAGAAGGCGTCATCATCCAAGCAGTAGCAGTCTCGCGTCGTCGCATCAGTGTAGTACCAGCATTAAGCCAGCGTCAAGCTCGTGTCCAGCCAGCGCCAGGTCTCTTAGATACGATGGGATGCTGTAGCTAGCGTCCAGCCAGCGTCAAGCCAAGCTAGCATCCAGCCAAGCTAGCGTCCAGCCAAGCTAGCGTCCAGTCAAGCTAGCGTCCAGCCAGCGTTAAGCCAAGCTAGCATCCAGCCTGCATTAAGCCAAGCTAGCGTCCAGCCCAGCTAGCGTCCAGCCAGCGTTAAGCCCAGCTAGCGTCCAGCCAAGCTAGCGTCCAGCCAGCGTCCAGCCAGTGTCAAGAAGCAAGTGCAAGACTGAATGACGGTCAGCAGTGGCTGGGTCAACATACAGAGTTGACTTCAGTTGACCAGCCTCAGGTCTCTCAGATACGATGGCACAGATTGACTCGCAGCCAATGGCCTGGATCTCATACAGTTGCAGATTCCCACTTGGGCTTGATTCTCGACAGATACCTGCAAACAGCGAAGTGTGTGTGTCTGATCTAAGGCCTGGGCTGGGTCCATGTTGACGTTGACTCATGATCCTGAATTTCCGAGCAAAGGTTGACCTTTGACTTTCCACGGTCAACTGGCGCACGTTGGGCCTCTGAAGCCCAGTTTTAGGCCTTGCTTCGGGTACCCCACAGTAGCAGGCCGTCGTTCAGGCAGTTTTCATGGCTTGGGAGTGGCGGTTGACCCCTATTCCGGTCCTTAGACCAAAATGACCACGCGGCCCACGACTATTGCATGATTTGAGCTGAGTTATTGAAAATGAATGAATCAATGAATGGATCAATGAATGAATACATAAATGAATGAATCGGTCAATGAATAAATCAATGAATGAATCAATGAATGAATCAATGAATGGATCAATCAATCGATGAATCAAATGAATGAATCAATCAATCATAGTTGCGGCACACCAGTGCGCAGTGTGGGACGGGCCGCTGCGCAGTAGTTACAGCGCGCGCACTGTGCGCTGTGCGCAGTGCGGGAGGTGCGCCAAGTGCGCGAAAATTAAAAATATAAATAAATAAATAAATAAAAATTGTGTGTGTGTGTGTGTGTGTGTGAGAGAGAGAGAGAGAGAGAGAGAGAGAGAGAGAGAGAGAG